TAAGGTATCTTAGTGCCTTAGGTGGAAGTTCCTTCAATGTTCTGCTGGTGATTTCATCATATCCTGGAGATTTTCGATTTTTTAAGTTGCTGATAAGTCCCTGGATTTCATTCAGAGTGGCATTCTTTACTTGTGTCTCTTCGTACAATAATTGATGGTCTTGTAGTAATATTTCTTCTTGAGCTTCTGGAATTTGTCTTGCTGGAGTGTCAAACACTTTGCTCAAGTGTTCAGCAAAGTTTTCTGCTTTTTCTTGGTCACTTCTAACCCATTTACTTGCTGTCTTGATCGGTGGTATAAATTGCTGAGGTCGATTCAAATACTTGGTGGCTTTCCACAGAGAGTAATCCGTTAATGCCGTAGGGGCGAGGTTTTTTAAATAATTGTTTACTTTTTCGTTTTTATCGTCGCGAAGTAACGTCTTTAGTTCTTTTATAGCTTTGTTTAACCGGGTTTTAATTTGACTATTGCGAGTATTTTGCCAGATTTTTTTGAGCTTTCGTTTTTCTCTTATTTTATTTTGTATTGCCGTAGGAAGGTTAAACGTTTTTTGCGCGAATATTAAAGGAGGAGTAGAAAAATATATTGCTTTATGTATTAGAAGGTTGAGGTTTTCAACGGCGGTGTCAACATCATTATGAGTTTTTAATGGAATATTACATGTGAGGTTTTCATTGATGTATTCTTTATAAGAAAGCCAATTAGTTTTTTTATTTCCGAGATGAGCTGGTTTAGTGTTGTTAATGGCTTCAACGCACAGTTTCATTATTATTGGTGAGTGATCGGAGGTTAGTTCGAGGCTTGACCATACGGAGATGTAATGAGTTGATATGCCTTTGGAGATAAAGAAATCAATGAGATCAGGAGTTTTTGCAAGATCGGATGGCCAATATGTTGGTTCTCCGGATGAGGCGGGCTTAAGGTTATTTTCTTGCATTGCGTTATATAGCTGTCTACCACGGGGAGATGGAGTTTGTGATCGGGAGCCCCAAGAGGGATGTTTCGCGTTGAAGTCACCACCTGCAATGAATCGAGGACCTAGCTTTTTGAAGAATTTGGTGAATTGATCTTGTTTAATGGTACGTCCTGGTGGACAGTAGATAGCTGAGAATGTGATGGGACCTTTACAGGTTTCCGCTGCTACGCTGGTAGCCTGTAAAAAGTCATCAGTGTTTTTCTCGAGTTCGAAATGTTTAATAGAAGATTTTATAATGAGAGCTGTACCACCGTGAGCCCTGCCGCTAGGATGTTGCGTGTCATAAATGATATAGTTTGGAATTTTTAGATAAGATTCATTTGTAAAATGAGTTTCTGAGATGAGCATGATATCAATGTTATTCATCATCAAAAATGATTTTAACTCTAGGCTACGTTGAGCCAAGCCGTTTGCATTCCATGCTGCGATGATTAATTTTTTGTGGTCAGCCATTTATAATTTATTTATGAGCGTTGTTAGTAATTTAAGCATTACATCCATAGAAGACATGAGTTGCACCATCATTTTTTCTAACTTTAGTATAGAGCTATTATTGTTATTTTGAATGTTGTTGTTCTCGACAATGGCCATTTCCTCTGTTAATGTTTGTTGATATGCTTCGAGTGACTTTCCTGCTGGCCTGGAAGCAGCTTGAGCGTATGAGACGTTTTGAACGATATTTTTGGATTGGAATTGTCTAACGTGATTATTGCGATTTTCGAGTTTTTTGTCGCGTAGGGCTGGATATAATTTTTGTAGTAGCTGCTTGCGAACGATGCAGCCTTTGTAGCTAGCTGGGTGGTTTCCACCGCAGTTTGCACAGATTACTTCTTTAATTTTCTCTTTTATTGGACATTGATTAGTTGCGTGATTTTTGGCGCATTTGACGCAAACAGGCTGTTTTTCACAATAGTTTTTAGTATGTCCGTGTTCTTGACATCTCATACATTGGGGGATATCTCTATGTTTGCGCGGTGGCTCGAAGCTTACTACTGAGTTTAATAATCTATTTATTTCAAAGATTTTTTTGTTATTTATATCGGTTTTTAATTCCACGAAGAAAAGAGGGAGTGGTTTTTTGGAGACGGCCTGTCTGATGTTAGATATTTTTACTACCGAGTGACCGTACTCCTCGATAGCCTCTTTAATCTCTGTGATTTCAACTGATGGGTGCATGTTACGTAAAACTGCTTTGAAGCCTTTTTGGCTTTTGCATTGGTATGTGTGGAATGAGGTTTTTTGCAATCTAAGCATTTCAATCGCGGCTTTATAATGTTGTTCAGACAACATTTGGATTTTAACTGAGTCATTACTTTGGATTTTAATGTAATACTCTTTACCTGCTATTTCACTCAGTTTTAATTTCAAAGGGTTTACGTTTTGGACACCACTTATGAATATCGGTGGAGGTTTAATTTTTGTATCGGTAGGATTACTCTCTGCCGCCATCTCTCTGTCCTCGCTCTGGGCCTCTACAACTCCGTCTTCTGGACTTTCATTCTCCAGAGGCGAGAACGAATTTTTCGTTGGTAATGGGTTTGAAAGCCAGTAGCCCGTCAACGTCATCTGTCTCTTGATCGGGATAAACTTGTTTTCTGGACTGTTTCTGGATCTTTTTCGTGTTTGAGTTACCCAGTTCGAGGGTGGTCTGGCTTCATCGCGGGCAGTGTGTTGATCGCCCGCTTGGCCCGACATTACGGAAATTTGAATTATTCTCTAGTTAGCACGGAGACTGTTTATTATTGAATATTAATTAGATGTACTGTATATATACTATTAGGTATAAGCTCCCGACATAAACACGTCTGTTCAGCTTAACGTCTAAACGAATGACCTCATCTTCGAAAGAGTTTTTTTTCGCCGCAAGTTTTCAGGAGAGATTTTTTTGATCGCGCATCACTGGAACGGTGATACTCTTCGTAGGGACGGTCGATTTGAAGTAGGGGTGGGCTGGTTAGTTCAAATATTTTGCATGCTTCGTGGCTTCAGAAAAAGTCCTAGAAGATTTTTAAAATTTATTTGTGGAGCTACGATTCGAAAAAAACATGAAAAATCAAAGTACTTATAACATATTTTTAATGAAAATAGGTCACTTAGGCTGGAGACTAGATCTTCCTTTCTGAGCTGGAACTTCAGATAAATTCAATTCTCGTTGTGGAATATATTTCAGAATAATTAAAGTATGATAAAACTTGTTTGTAATATTTCTAATGTTCTAATGACATAAAAAGTTACTTATGAATCTTGTATCTTAAATTATTATAGACCTAAGTTATTAAGATAGGAATAAGGCATGTTTTTGACTTTGAATTCATTAAGCGCGTTCTTGTGTCGGGGTTTATTTATAAAAGAATAGTTGAAATGCAAAAAAGAATAAAAATAAAAAAAAACTTGCTTAAGATTTTCTTTTGCAAGGGTTTCTTCTACGCGTAATTTCATCTAGTGCACTAAGTAAGGACTTTTTTTGTTTTAAAAATTTATTGTAATTAATTACTGTCAGTCGTATATTTTCAATAATAAGACTTAATTTACAGCAGAATATATTGAAAAGTATCTAATCATGATATCGTTGAATTACAGGTGAGATAGAGTGGTTATATCGATTTTAATGTGAGCTCTTTATCATTACAACATAGCTGTGAGCACTATGCACTATTCTAAAAAATAAAAAAGTATGATGGCGTATTGCGATAGTAAATTGTTATCCAAATGATAGTATTAGTATGTGTATATGAATGAAAGATCACAAATTGAAAAAAGATAACTTGATTTGATAATTTCTCTACTCCATTTAAAAGGAATTGTTACCTTAAACAATTAACAATAGGAATTAAAAGAATTTGCTGAAATGCTTTATTGTCAAATATGTCGAAGTGTGAGTAAAATTTTGAATTTCGTCCATAGTAGAAGAATTTACCGCAATAAAGCGATGAGGGATAAAGGCATTGAATTTATTGCATTTCCTTCAATTCTCAATCTCGTTTTAGAGATTTAATCAGAGGATCTAATAGAAATCTAATACATGCTTTACCGTCACTTTAATATTATGAAATTAATTGTGGTTAAATAAACTTAATTGTATAAGAATGTAAATATATATGAACTAAAATTAGGATACATTAAGTTATACGATGCTTGAAGCTGGGAAAAGGCATTTGAGTATACCACTACAAAGCGTATTTAATTTATACTTTTCCCATGACACAAATCACGAAAATGTATATCTCTGTAAGATGTTATATTTGCAGTATGATAAATAAATCGAATACATATATATCATATATATATATATATATATATAATCACGCACACACACATTCATGCCCATAATATATTATTACATTTATAAATAATAAATTTCATCGGAAACGATCCCGTGCACTTTTTTGGCAAGATGTAAAAGTATTTTTTTTGGATTTTCCACGTTATCAGTCATAACGTAGCTTGATCACGCCTTTAATGCTAGTAAATCTATTAATCATTACGGCAATATGCCGTAAATTATAAAACATTTTTTTTTAAATCGACGGAACGCCCCCTCAAAAGTTTCAAACCCGCAAAAAAATGAGCTCTACCAAATCTCAGCTCATATGGTTGAAAAAAACCCGTGCCACAAGACGGGTGTTGATTAACATTAAAGTAAATGGAAACCCCGTATGCGTATAATACGAGAAAACGACTTTTCCATTTAATTTAATGTTAATCAACACCCAGTGACACGAGTTTTTTTTCAACCATATGAGCTGAAATTTGGTTGAGCTCATTTTTTTGCGGGTTTGAAACTTTTGAAGGGGCGTCCCGTCAATTTAAAAAAAAAATTTTTTATTTTCAGTCTAATATATATATTGTTCCTCCAACTCAGCACAGGCGCGTATCTAACAATGATGACTATGATTGACACCACGCAGCAATTCGCCGAGTTCCCACACAATAATGAAGCAGATAAGATAATGGCTTCGAAGCACGCGCGCCGAAGATGTCAGAATAGTTGGCGACCATCAGTTTGTTTTGCGATTTGCGCGAGTCAGCGTCCACAGTTGATCGCATTGAATTTTACTTGTTCAAAAACCATGGCTGTTACGAGTGTGAATCTTTCCACGTGCATGTGGCAGCTACGGTGATAAAACGATAAAAGTATTTATCCCATTTATCGAAAAAAACTCTTTTACGCGTGATCAGAAATTTTTCGAAGGAGAACTTTCAAAAGTCGCAGAATAATTTTAATTACTTAAAGTATGGTGAATAACGACGAAAAAGTATTCAAACGTCGAGTGTTGAAATTACTTTCGCGTAAAAGGAGTTATGGTTTGCTTCAACAAGAAATGCAGCAGTTGGCTAAAGGAAGTGCGGAGATGACAGAGGTGTACCGGCGATTTTCCGGAATAAAAATTCAGCCAGATTTAGAAGATCCAAAGAACGACAATGTCAAAGTCGTGGCACCAACGGTCATCGCTAAAGATTACGAGTTAGGCCACATTTTTGCCTCTGACTTTTCATCCAACTGACTCCTTGGTCTAACGATCTAATGTATTAAAATTGCAGAACAAACGCGAGGTTGATGGAAGCCATGTGTAAAAACATATTCCTGCGAAATTTCGACAAGTCTTTCATTCAAGCGTTCATCGATGCCATGTACCTGCAAACGATACCAGCGGGTACGCGCATTATCCGGCAAGGCGACTGTGGAGGTGACTATCGGAAAAATACCCGACGCTCAAAGGAAATGTTCCATTTGTTACGTCTTTATTTATTTTTTTTTTTTTTTGTTTAATTCAGGTCCACAATTGTACATTTCCGAGAGCGGAACCTTCGACGTGTATCACGGCAACAAGTACGAGAGCAGCTTCGGAGCCGGTGTCGTGTTCGGCGAATTAGCCATTCTGTACAACACAAAAAGATCGAGATCAATCGATGGTAAAATTGAGTCTTGGCGTGTTTATTGATGTTATTGTTGTGCATATTGTTGACGAAGGAGAGGAAGTTTTGGTAGAAACGCGTGTAACGTCGATCGATGTTTTGTGTATCTAGTTAGACAAGGTGCCGAGGTTTGGGTCTTGGACAGGAGCGCCTTCGAAGCGGCCATCCTGAAGGAAAACGTCACGAAACCCAACGAAACGATCGATCAATTGCTGCAGATTCCCGTATTGGTGACGTTGCCGAGGCATATTTTAACCAAAGTCAGCCAGCTCGTCGAAACGGTTCGTAACAATAAATCTCAGTATAAGCTCGCGCCCGCTTATCGACCCTCGTACCTACGTGTATGTATTATTTATAGCCGCGAGAATCGCGTCTGCATATCGCGGCAAAAACTGACCAAAAATATATCGGCCAACGCTTGCGCATGAATACGAAATCGCGATTCAATCGGTAGCGAGCGATAAAGCATCGACATTCCAATTGCAGGAATTTTTCGAGGAAGACTCTAGCATTATCAGGCAAGGAGCGCCCGCGACCAAGTTTTTCATCATAATCGGCGGCTCTGTGGCGCTGAGCCGCCGCGAAAGTGCCGAGGAAAGCCCGATCGTCGTTGGAAAAGAGCACTACTTTGGCGAGCAGGCGTTCTCCGGTGACGAGGACGAAGTCTACGATGTCACTGCCACCGCGCTCAAGCCAGGCGTCGTTTGTTTGACTCTCGAAACTAAGTAAACAAAAAATCATGTATTCAAGCTCGTACTGGTGCGACGAGTTGAAAAATCGATATGACCGTTTTTTTGCTGTTTTTGTTGTTTTTTTCATAATCCGCACAGAGCTTTGCTCGATTGCCTGGGTAGCCTCGATCTCATTCAGAAAGACAAGTGGATGTCGGAGCTTAGGACTAGATCCAACTCGTACTCGATCGAGTGGACCAACAAATACCCGGATCTGAACGTGACGGATTTTAAATACATCGAGACCCTTGGCGTGGGAGCCTTTGCTCGGGTCGAGCTCGTTACAATTCCAAACGTACTCGGCGAGAGTTTCGCCTTGAAGACGGTGAAGAAGAGTCGCGCCGTCGAGCTCGAGTGCGAAAAGTACTTCCTCGGCGAGAAGAAGATTATGCAATTCTGCAATTCACCGTTCGTGTGCAGGTAAACAGCTCGCGTGTGATGCAATTTCTCGAGGCTCCAATTGCCGCGCTCGCCGCTGGAATGCAGGATGCGACGAGCGCGGCTTTATACGCTGACATCGCCGTTGCTGTTCTTATAAATGTGAATATCGTTATCGTTAAGCTCGCAATAATATGGACTCGCGAGCGAGTAAAATTCCGATTGGCATGTTGCACGCGTTAGAGAAATTAAGATCGTGCGAGTATGCGCTCTAAATTGCAAATACAACAGAAAGTCGGCATCGATAACTGATAACTCTTTAAAATGTTTAGGATAGCAAAATCGATTATTAGTTTCTGTAAAATGCAGCTGATCATCTCGCAAATATTTCATGCGTGTCGTGATATACGCGCAGCTGGTGGTCGTCCGATTCACCTGTGCACCAAGAAAAAGTACGAAGCCTCGGACGTTAATAAAAGAAAAAAGCCTCAAGATTAGCATTCCGATTTGCTCTAAATGCCGTTGTTTCCATTGAAATAAGATAAGACTTGTATATTGTGATCAGAACAAAAATAATTGACATATATGTGTCTGTGGTTCGCAGGCTTTATCAAACTTATAAAGACGACACGTATATTTACTTCTTGATGGAGGCCTGTTTGGGAGGCGATTTAAGTACTTACCTGGCGCGCCACGGACCCTTCGACAACACACCGGCCAAATTCGTCATGGCTAATATTGTCGAGGCTATAGCTTATCTGCATAATCACGGAATAGTATACAGAGACCTCAAGCCAGATAACGTCGTGATCGATAGCCACGGATATCTAAAACTCGTAAATATATTTATTTATATGCTTTGTACTCATTGCACATTGCTTATTCTTTTAAGAACAAAATTGCTGCTGCTTTGCGTATTCTTTAGTACCGAAAATCACGTCCTTTGGATATCATTTATGTGCCTGTACGCAATTGTTTTGATGTATGAATGACAAAAAAAATCTTGATGATTATGGACCGACTTTTTTCTCAACTTTTTAGAGTACTTTTTATAATTAATCTAATTTTACCTTGGATCAGAGTTTCTTACTGAATTTTTTAAAGTCATTTTGAGTGAATTTTTTTGGCATTAGTCACTTATAAACAAATGTCAATGAAAACAATCAAGTATTAAGAAAATCTAACAATGTCTCTTATTTTAATGATACTTCATTCTTTGCATATCAAATTGTCAACCAAAAATTCCAGACTTTTTAAAACTTTCTTTAAAACATGTTTGATGCCGGTGAGTAAATTTATTTAGAAATCGATAAGCAATTTCTGAGTTGAAGACAATAAGACTTAAATTAGTCTGGTGCGAAATAAACTAATAACATAAAAACGTTACTTCCGGGATAGAACATTTTAAAAGAGGTCAAATTAGTATTTTGTATTACGAATTAAATACGTACAAAGTTTATGCCAGAGGTCGAACTTATGTAGGTATTGGCTTTCTAGAAAAAACTCAGAAAAATGTAATGAACATTTTCTATTTTTTCGTATGCTGAAAATTTGTTGGAAGTAGTAAATCTGAGAACATTTTTGAGAGCAAGAAAAAGGTCGCTGATCACAAATCTGAAGTCAAATCGGACATTTAATTTACTCTTATCGAAAGGGTCCAAGTTCTCCTTATATTGTCCCCTGAAGCTTCACTTTTTGTCAAAAATTTTTTAAAAATTCTATACCAGGTATTTAGGGCATAATGAAGTGCATTCAATAAAACTCCGATTTAAGATCAGCCATTTCTTATAACACAGGTTGATGTTTGACGCAAAAAACATCGAGTCTGATGTCCATGCATGGGCTTTCCAGAAATCTAAAGGATAGTGGTTTAGACTTCGGGTTATATGACTACCTTTATTAGATATTAATGATCTTTATAACAAAAAAATCTGCTGCTGTGCCTACATAAAATTTTTACAACAGATTATTTAATAACTAAATGAGTAATGTGATTATTTGTATAGACAGATTTTGGCTGCAGCAAAATGATTGGGTTGGACAAAACATGGAGTTTTGTGGGAACTCCAGAGTACATGGCACCAGAGATACTCTTTAACAAACCATACGATAGGTAAAAATACTGGAGAAAAAATAATTCACAACGAACAACTTTGAAAAATGATATTGCATTTGATTTTCAAGGGCAGTCGATTATTGGTCGATGGGAGTACTGATGTACGAAATATTGGTAGGCCACCCACCATTTCAAGATAACGAAAAAATAATTCTGTACAGTAAAATATTGAAAGGCTTTGATAGCTCAAGGGTATACGGGGGTGTACTTCGAAAGCCCGCGGAGAATCTCATTCGTAGTCTCTTGAGAACTGATCCGTCCCGAAGATTGGGCAACTTGCGCGCTGGCACCGCAGATATTCGCAAGCATAAGTAAGCTGAACAGAATCAATGAAACTTTTTTTTCAAAGAAAAATATTCATCTTTTTTCTTAACAGATGGTTCAAAGATTTTGATTGGGACTCAATACAAGATATGTCGCTACCTTCTCCGGTTATTCCAACGGTATGATACTGTATTACAAATTATTATTTCTTTGAAAGGATTAATAATGAAAAAAATTATTCCCATTGGCAGATACAAAATCATTTAGATACAAGAAATTTTGAAAAATACCCTTGTAACGATGAGGATTTTGCAGAGCCGGAATTCTCAGGTTGGGATAAAGATTTTTGATGAATCGAGTACGACTTTGAAACTATGAATTTTTCTATCATCGATTCATTTCATGAATTGTATATATGAACACATTTAATTCATAAATTCATTTTTAATCCATGTGGCTGAAAAATAGATTCAATGTTATTTTTTATGTAAATAAAAAAACAAGACATCGAAACCTACGAAAAGTAATTACTTAAGACATAAACATAAACATTTTGTTAAAAATATTAAATTTTACACATCAGTGATCACCCAAAAAAATGGAAATGGAACCAAGTGGGATACTCCTAAAGAATACATTAAAAATTGATCATTCCAAAAATTTTAGTCCTCCAAGATTATTCCCCATACCTACAGAGTCTCCAAGTTGAATTTTCACTTTATAAATTTTATTTTTCTTTTCTTGGAGGAATATGAAAAAATAATTGAATCATGGTTTTTCATGTGCCATTTGGTGAGAAAATTCAAAACTCAATAAAAATGCCACTTATGATTTCTGGAAAACATTTGCAAGAGATAATTAAATTAGAAAGTTGAAAATAAAAAACAATTTAAAGGAAATTTAAAAAATAATTAACAAAAAAAAATTATTTTAGAAATCCAAATAGAATCAAAGCCTGAAGAAGAAGTTTTTTTCAACGTAGTTCTCACAAACATATTTATGGCTTTATTTTAGTTAAACTAGTACAAACATTCAGTTTGATTAGTGATTAAACGCACTGAAAAATAATACTTTATTTTTCATGTAAGACAATACACGATACATTATTCTGTTACCTTGGAAACGAAGGCAAATTATAAAAATATAAAATTCCTCCGAACTTTTACATATAAAATAATATATTATTAACAATTTCGTTTAAGTAACATTTTTATTTTAATAATTGCTGAGACTGTATTCATATCTAGACGATGTGAACTGTGTTTAAAACTTGGCGCTCTTTCAGTCAGCAATCCTAGTTCTTCGATAGCCGCGCCATCTACTTTCTCTACATCTCTCTCCTCCGGCCTCCCTTACTTCATCTCTCGACTTTAAAATAACTGACGCCTTCACCTTCAGTTCTTGGCTAACAACAGCTCTATGAACACTCACAGTGCCGCGGCCTATAGTGTACGTTCTAGTTAACAGCTTAGTAAAGAATAAGTTCATTACTGTTTTAATAACGTGCACTTGTGCACAAAACGTGCAAGTTTAACGTTGCGGTTGTTTAAAAAATTTCACTTACTTACGAAGCAAGATACGTATTTGTAAGTTGCGGAAGTGAACGAAATTGTGTGCATCGTCGACTCTCGAAGTTTACGTATTTCTTTTGAAGTTACGTATTTTTTTAATATGCCGAAAAGAAAAAGCCAAGCCTTTATCGATTCCGAATCTAGTAGAAGTTCGGATGAAAGCGGATCCGATCTTGAAAATGTAAGAATAACCTTTTTTTTCATTTCATCGCATCAAATAAATAGATACATGTTGCTTTTATAGTATCAAACAATAACCATGTAAACATAACCTATATCAGTGGTGGTTTCAATCCCTTATTGTATAGAGAAAGAAATGAAATACTTATTGTTTCATTCTATTTGAGAAAAAAAATTTCTCTTATTACATTATTTTCTTTATTTTTATATATAATATATTTTTAAAGTAGCATATTTTTTATGCTTTGAGCAATCAATAAGTAAATCATCGCCATTTATGAAACTTTTAACGATCACTCAAGACTCTTTTTAATTTCAGGAATTGCTAACGTTAAGCAAGAAAAAAAAGTACCAATCAGGCAGTGACGCTTCAGAAAACGAAAAGAAGAGTCCTGCCAAAAACGAAGCTAAGTACAGTGATTCTGGATCTTCGTCCTCAGATGATGATTCTGACAATGATGATGCAGCATCAAAATCCTCTCCAATTAAAAAGAAGGAAGAATCTAGTAGTGATAGTAGCAGTAGTGAATCTGAGGATGAAAAAAAAGAAGTAGAAAAAATGAATGTTTCTGAGTTAGAAGAAGGAGAAGTATCAGATTCAAGTGACTCTAAAACTAACTCTAGTCAATCGGAATTCAATGATGGATACGATGATAGGCTTATGGGAGATGATGAAGATCAAGCGAGGCTTGCTAAAATGACAGAAAAAGAAAGGGAACAAGAGATTTTTAAACGCATTGAGCAAAGAGAAATTATGCGACGTCGATTTGAAATTGAAAAAAAACTTAGACAAGCTAGAAAACAAGGTGGCAAACATAAGGAAAACAGAAAACGGGACAGAAGTGATGAAAGAATAAGTAGAGGTCCTGATCCAAAAGAAAGGAGTAAAGATAGAAAAAAGGCCATTGATGAAAAGCAAGATAAAAAAAGTAGTGCCATGGCTTTGCTCAAAGCTAGAAGAGAAGAAAAGCGCGAAAGAGGTATGTTCCATTCTATTTCTTGTTTTTAAATAACCTTTTTAACATACATTTTATTTAATTGAATAATGTCACGTTTTCAGAGGAAAAAGAAAAGCAAAGAATTGAAGAGCAGAGAAAAGAGAATAAAGATGACGAAGAAGAGTTGGAAGGTGAACACAAAGCTTTTAAAACTAAATTAAAAGCCTCAGACATATACTCCGATGATAGCGGCTCATCATCTGATGAATCGGACAAAGAAACTTCAAGGCGAAGATCATCTTCCAGTTCATCAAGAGACTCAGACTCTGATGATGAAGAACAATCTGTTTCTAGTTCTGCTAAACCTAAAAAAGTAGTATTAGTTAGTACAAAAGAAGAGTTGAACAGAATTAGACTAAGTCGGTTCAAAATGGAAAAATTAGTTCACATGCCTTTCTTTGATAAAGTGGTTCAAGGTTGTTTTGTCAGAATTGGCATAGGCAATAACAACGGTAGACCAGTATATAGAGTTGCTGAAATTAGTGGAGTCTGTGAAACAGGAAAGGTTTATCAATTAGGTAATACTAAAACTAATAAAGGGTTACGATTAAGACATGGTCTTCAGGAAAGAGTATTCAGATTGGAATTTATTTCCAATCAAGAATTCACAGAATCTGAGTTTTTCAAGTGGAAAGAAACCTGTACATCCCAAGGGATTTCTATGCCTACTGCCGATGAAGTAGAGCAAAAATGTAAAGACATAAAGGAAGCAATGGTTTATGAATTCAAAGAAGAAGATATCGAAAGAATGGTGCAAGAAAAAGTGAAGTTCAAAGGAACACCTTATAATTATGCCATGAAGAAAGCCCAGCTTATGAGAGATCGAGATGAAGCCAACTGCAGAGGAGATGACGAAGCAGCCAGTAGATTTAATCAGCAAATCCAAGAGTTAGAAGAACGAGCTTCTAACTTAGATAAAAAACGATCTGCTACAATATCTAGTATTTCTTACATCAATGATAGAAATCGCAAAAAAAATGTAGAAGAAGCTGAAAAAGCTATCATGGAGGAAATCAGGGCTAATAAAGGTAAAGTTATAGATGATCCTTTTACCAGAAGAAGCACACGTCCCAAGATGTTTTCACAAAAAGAGGAACCCGTCAAAAATGACCCTGCTAAAAACTTCGAAACGGAACCTGAAACTCCAAAAGTAATTGAGAAAGAAAAAGAAGCAGTAACAGAACAGAAAGTCAATGCTAATACGGATTTATTTGATGCTCACAATTTCGACATCAAAATAGATTTAGAGGTGCCACTAACATGTAAGTATTTACAACTTTTCAAAATTTGTATAATAATAATAATAATAATAAGTAGAATTGTATATTTTAATATAAATTATTTTGCAGTAGATCATCCTCTCAATATCCCTAAACCGATTGTTGTCAGCAGCATCAAAGAAACACCAGGACCTCGTCGATCGTTAAATTTAGAAGATTATAAAAAGAAGAGAGGATTAATATAATTAGTAGTAAGGAACCGAAAATGTTACTTAGTAGGCTGTTACAAAACTTATAGAAAATGTAGAGGAAAGGTTGGGTACGTCAGGAATGAATCTGTATTTTGCATTGCCTTAGAAGTATAAGTGTATAAAGACATCACATTGTCAACTGTTAACGACGAAATATACTTAAGTGTAATAAAAAATATTAATTAAAAATATTTTTACGTTTCAAACAAGAAATTGATCTTTAGCTATGCCTTCAAATGCTCAGATTTTTGGGTAACTTTTTAAATTACACTTAACAATGCAGGATACAAATAGTTTTTTACTTTTATTGAATACAGACTGTTTAGATATCATTAAAATCATGTAAATTTTGATTGTTAGTTTATCGCGGCATTTATACTACAATATTTAAAAATTGCATGTATGTATAGCTAATAATAACAAAATAACCTTATTAAATTGTAAATATTAAATATAATTATCACCAAATAAATAGTAAAAAGTGAACCTTTGTGTTTTTATTATTTGGTCATTCTCTTTAAATTGATTTTAAAATAAAATGGTTGAAACATTAGGAGCATAGATGGAAGTAAAAAAATTCTTTCATTTTTAAATTTTTATCTTTATGTTTGGTTTTAATTTGAAACATAATTTGCTCCTGAATAAGATTGAAATTTAGTACAATCTTAGCCATTGACAACCTTTTTTGTTTTTGAAGTAATTTTAAAAATAATTTCCACAGCAGCACTTCAAGCAAAATTAAAATTATCTTCATAAGTGTAACTAATTACATTTAGTATAAAATTATATAAACTCAAAAATAAACTCATATTTTTTGTGGTTGATATTCAAACACTGGATTACATATATAATTAACCTCAGAAAAAATATGTTGATAAATACCTATAAGTTAGATTCATACATATCAACATAAAATTTTATAATAAAACTTTAGTGAAAACGTGAGCAGAATAAAAATGTATAATTTCGAAAATAGGTCTTAAACGAAAGTCTCTGTCGCACTTGCGACTATCTCAAGTATAACTTACGTCACATTACTGCAGAGAGTAGAGTAATTTTTTTTTGTAAGTTTTAAATGAAAAGCGCGTTTATGTGAATCTATAGTATATACATACATACCTACGAATGGAAAAACATTGCCATATGCTCGATGTGCATACCTCCCTAGTCAACGAGATTAGGAAAATTGCCTATACGAAATTTTGAAAATATTAATAATAGAACGCAAAAGTGCATTATTTTCATGAACGAATCAAAGATGACATTTTCATTCGCCAGTCGTATTAGTTGCTTCATTCTGCAAGATCATAAAATACAACGCGCTTACTCATCTTAAACATCATACTATTGCTTCGAAACAATAAACTATCGAATCAAAGGATCACGTCATCGTTTATAATAAAAAAAATCGTCTTTTCCTAAATTCAAATTCGAATGCAAATTATATTACAAGTAATAACAAATCATACGTATTTTTTTGCAAAAATCGACGGATTATTTGAACTCTGCTGAAGTAATGACTAAATTACAAGGAAGGTGGACAAAGGGTCCAAGATCATCAAACAGGCCCACATTAGCGCGGCATGATTTGAACTATCGAACAGCGCGAATCTTTTGATATAAACAGCCGCAGTAGCGAGCATGAACATCGTCCAGTGGACGACGTCCACTCGATGTGTATCACATACATACAAACAAGACAGAGAGCAATTTGCGACGGGCATGATATACATATTACATATTTTGTATATATATAGAGGTATAAGTATAACTTATCGCTCGCTGACTATCTTCATTGCCCAAACATCGCACGGCAATCACGGCATGAGGCGGGATCCGCCGAGACCGTCGTGGCCGCTGCCGCCGCCGCAGCCGATCGCCGGGTTAGGTTGCGCCGCACAGCTCGCCTTTGCTCGTGCGAAAGACAAGGAGAAACGATTGCCAACGGCAGGGGAACGGAGAAGAGAGAGAGAGAGAGAGAGAATCGCGCGCCGGCCAGCCCGTCTGCCGCGCTCTCTGCCTTATGCTTTCAGCAATCGGAATTGCTTTCAGTCGTGCAGTAGTATCATAACTGTGCAGGTGCGTTCATCCAGTACAGCAGCAGTTTTTGCTCTGAACAGGATACACATACATAGATAGAGAGTACATACACACATTCACGCGCGCGAATACGTATTACATAGTGTTCGTTACACTTCATACTTGGTGCCCCCGTCGTCGCTGCAGGACAGGACCGATTTAGTGTAAAGATTAACAGAAAACCCAATAAAACAATAAGCAAAAATGGTGAGTAATAAAGCAGACTCAATTTTTTTATCGCTAAATTATATGGAAAGTCATTGGCTGCTTTCGCCAAGTGCCAATTCTTCGCAGCTCTGTGATTAATCGCACGACGCGAGTCGGTCGACGTAACCTATGGACATTTTGCGGCCTGGTATGGCGCGCGGGGTTGGGCCGGAGCCGAGCGACGTCACCTCGAGCTCCCTTGCGAGTCACGTAGGCAAGACGCGGTGCGATGCACTCGTCGTCTCGCAAGCGGCATCGGTCCAACTCGCTATTCTCGCTTACGGATTTGAGCTCTCTCTCTTTCGGCGCGGTTAAACATCCGCCATTTTTCCATCCTTCTCGCTCACTCGTTCTATCGGAGCCGCACACGCTCGGTGCCGGCTAACCGCTTCTCTTTCGCTAATGATCGTGTGGCATCGACCACACCTATTTCGCAAGTAAAGCACGAAAATAATAGCCAGTGAGATGGGTTTTCACGCTCTTGGGTCGTTTACCCCATCTAAGTTATTAGGCGAAAATAAAAAGCTATCGTCCACGTCAACCCGGCACATATATAAGTGCGAGATGTGCGAAAGCCGGGGGTCTGCATGTATGTATAGATACACACACACACGCACATACATACACAAATATATACTTGGACAATGCCGAGCTCAAGAGTAAAAGAGAAAGAGAGTATCAGCAGTAGCAGCAACGGAATGGAAGCCACGGCGCGCCGAGTCAGAAAATGGACGTGCGGATGAATCATCTCTCTCTCTCTTTCTCACTCTAGCTCTGCAAACTCCGTGCATTGTATACACATACACAAGAGACATACACAAGGCAAAGCGTTTCGTCCCCTAGCCAAACGTTGCTATTAAAAAGTCCATACGTGTGCGGCGACCATATAGGTACCTATACGCGTACCTACAGGCCACGCTCGTATTCTCTTCTCTGTTTCCTTGGTCTCTATATATAGGGAGGTACATGGACGGCCAATGTGCGATTTTTGTGAATCATTCACATGCATAGAAACGAGAGCCGCGTTGGCTATTTGAGCCACGCGAGCCTCTACAACTGTTATCGTTCTGTCGGATAAATTCATCGAGAAAACAAAGTCGAGTCGGGAGCCGATTCGTTAGAGTCGTCTTGTACTACTGGGTTATTCGGCCCAAACGAAAAAACGGATGCGTGTACGGCCTGGATGGTGCGCGCCTCTTCGTGTTTCCCGTACTGTACAGCCATATACCGACTCGCACGACGAAGCGAGTAAGAAAGCAGCCACGCTGCTGCTTTCGCGTATCGAGACTTGCCTCGCTGAATTTGGTTCTTCGTTATTATTACAAATAAGTCTAAATTGGAGCATTTTATACTCATTGTACACGTATGGAGGGCCTCGACGCGTACATATAATACTGGCATTTAATCGTGGGCGTCGGTTTCCTTCGATCGGGCATAACCCCGTAGCTCTTCTGCTTGCTCGGCTCAACCGTGTCGCGGCAGCTGGAGGCGAGCTTTTATTTTTATATATAAATCTCCCAATCGGTCGAGTGGCCGCGGCTGCTGGCGTTGCCGCTGTTGCGCTTGTTTTACTGCCGCCGACGATGACTATGACACGGATGCTTGCGAAGCTCTCGCGGGCCTGCGGAGAAAAAAAATAACGTTTCGTTTCCCTCGCGTTCGATACGTCGCGCGAAGCATGCGTACGCACGGCACTGCGTGACTGGGTGAATCATCTTTAGCGGTTTTACCTTGGTGGAATCGCAAGCCGCAGTCAGTAACGATGACTCCGGCTCCCCAACCGATGAATAATCTTTTAATTATCAAATGCTCGGCCATTTGGCCGGTAACCTGTCGAAGAGAGAAAGTCGAGCACAAGTGTAACATTCGCACGTAGCTAGCTCCGGAGCCACCGTGACCATATATGGTAGCGCGCGAATTTCCTTCTTATCGCGCTCGCGTGCTTGCTTTGACTCATTTCTAGATACGAGAACGACAGACCAGTGTGACAGCTATAAAGGAACGAGCTCAATTCAGCCCAGGTGCTACTTCGCTCCGATGCTCTAATCATTAATTTATCCATCTCGATAGTAAATACGCTTCTGTATTGTTGTATTGACACCGATTTTTACCGTTTGAGACATTTAAAAGCCATTTGACTCCTCGGCCCATGCCCCCGTGTGTTTGTCTACGGGATGATATCCCTATTTCGACCATGTTTTGCTTACGACAACGATATAGCCGCAGCCTAATACAGAAACACTTCACGGCTTTAGCGCGCTTATACGTTAATGTTTCGACGCCCACTGATAACGCCAAAACGCACCGAGATAAGTCCGAGTAATTTATTAAATAAACTCGCGACGACGCAATCACGCAACGGGACACGCTATCCAAAATCGAGTGGCACGTATATTGCGCGCGCTAAAATTATACCGCGATGTTTTTGTTTTTTCCTTCCGTGTATACGCGCGCGAGACTCCAACATGAACAATAATAGCGACGAATCATTGTGCTTTTGTCAATGAGTGGGAAGCGTAAGCAGGTCGCTTAAAATTCAAGTAACGAGACCCAATCACAGGCTAATTTACTTGCCCGATATCGTCAGTGATTTGTTAACGACGCTCATAAGATCATTTACATTTATTGCTCGAGTGTTTGCATGTCCAAATATTCCGCGATAAAATTATCTAAGCAGCGCATTTTTTCACTATTATGAGTAGTCTCAAACCGAAGAATTAATTTCATGAACGCAGAAACCAATAATAAGCTGAATTTCTCCGTTACTGAATGTTTTTACGCTCCAACTTACGCACAAACTTTATACAAACTTCAACGATAATGATTGTTCCAACCAGATCATTTTATTTGTCTGACGGCTATTGAATGCCTTCGATTGAAGTTATTTATCGTCGTTGACGCACTGCAAAAAATAAACTTTCTCAATAGAAAAGTATTTCCCAATTTAAAATTAAAGTCGTTGAGGTAACTCGCGTCAATCGAGTATCGTATGTTCTTTAATTTTTATCGTTTGAATATTACCAAGTTTATATCTTTCCGTCAGAAGAAGTAATTCTCAGCGTCCCATGGTTTCCTGTTGCGTTAATAATAGGATCTCGCTCTGCGGAGATAGCAGTCTAAGACTAAATAAGGCAATTAAGTCGGGTGCGCACTCGCTCATATCTATACGTACAACGACACCAACGCATGGTGTTCAACTTTTTTTTGGTCTCCTATTACAATCTTGCCTAAAACTATAATTAATTTTCGCGTTGATCTGCTTGTCAAAAGCGACGATTTGCCACGAGCATGATCAACTCTTTCGCTGGCTCGTCGGATGACATCTTGTATCTCGTCGCTTTTTTCTCGATTTCTATCGAAAAAGCAATTTTCTGCCAAATTTAGTCGTTGTGGCCACGCATCGAAGCTCTCCTTTTCCCTCTCGTAAGAGAGCTTGGTAGTGAGATGCGAAGCGTATAAAAATAAAGACTTCCCACGCGCGCATGTATCGTGATGAGCTAAAAAAAGCTCCCAGGATCATATATACTAAAGTTGTACGACTACACTTGCACGTTATACAAACGCTGAGAGCGCGTTAAATATATACATACGTCGTCTAATGGTCGACGTGTGCACACTGCACGCACGTTGAGCTGAGCCGACTTGACTGATGCTTCAAAAACAGAGCACAAAGAAATCCACGTGGGCCGTTGTTATCGTCGCCTCTTTCGATGCTGCTATTTTATATCATCTCCTGTATTTATGTATCTGCAGTATGTGCCTGTATGAAAGAGCTCATCATACACGCATCTTGCGGATCGCGGCTCGAATTACGAGGGTATAATTGGCTTAACATTTCGACACCGTCCACATGCACCATCTTGAGTCTTACTTGCGGATTTCATGAATTCTCCTGTTTAGCCGTAGCTTTGGGTTTACTCGTTTTTATCTTGACTCAATTAATAATCGAAATCGATTTGCTCTTGAATTTTGAAAAATTCGTAATAACTCATCATCGGTTGAGTCTCGAAATTTATAGCTTTACTTGGGTTAGAAAAAAATTTATCGATATTTTTGCATTCATCATTGATAAATGTGATTATTTTCAACGAGTGATGAAATTTTATGATAAAAATACTTCATTCTCATAGGAATAATACTGGCTCACTTGTTGGATAATTTTTGATAAAAAAATTGAGCGTTTTTTTTTTCATTATTCGTTACTGCTCATGATACTGTACGATCTGATTTTAGTATTCGACCTATATATAATCCCTGGTGTTTTGCTTCTTGGCTATGTGGCGTGGTGCCACGACTAAAATTAAAAAAAAATATATTGACGCGAGCTTGAGCTTTCACGGAAAATTATGTATCCGTGCGTATCATATTAGCGAGCAGATGGTTGCCAAGAGCTTGGAAAATCTGTTATTAGTTTTAAGTTTTCTGTCTCGCACACCTGCGAAACAATCATCAAAGTAAACCCGTTTTGTAATGCATATTTGCATTGAATTTCTAATTGTTTTCTACTTACCAAATTCGAAACAAACAAAAATGTATTCGTTTGCATGCTAAATATTGTCTAATTTTCTGATTTTAGGCATCTGGAGTTACTGTGGCAGATATTTGCAAAACGACCTACGAGGAAATTAAGAAGGACAAAAAACATCGATATGTTATCTTTTATATTAAGGACGAAAAGCAGATCGACGTCGAGGTTATCGGACCACGAGATGCAAGCTACGATGCTTTCCTCGAAGACTTGCAAAAGGGTGGCGAGGGCGAATGCCGCTATGGGCTTTTCGATTTCGAGTACACTCATCAATGCCAAGGAACTTCCGAGGTACATACACTTGATTACATTTCAATCTATTGAAGAAATAGCTTACAACATTTATTTATGATGCTATTTGATCCACAGGCTTCCAAGAAACAAAAGTTATTCCTGATGTCGTGGTGTCCCGAGACAGCCAAGGTTAAGAAGAAGATGTTGTACTCCAGTTCATTCGATGCTCTCAAGAAGTCCTTGGTTGGTGTACAAAAGTACATACAGGCGACGGATCTTTCGGAGGCTTCCGAAGAAGCTGTCGAAGAAAAACTCCGAGCCACTGACAGAAACTAAGCGACGATAACTAATTATACACACATACCAATTTGCTAATTATAATCATTAAACGATTTTGAACTGAAAGGGGCTAAAATGCACAAAACCCCCTTCCTCATACAACAAAACAAAAAAATGTTCTGTACTGTTTACATGGGCGTTCGTGTTTTTACATGTTTTTCACTTTGGAAAACGTTTATTACAATAAATACAAAGGAAGGGATGTCGTCGTACGTTATGGACAAAAAATATAACGAAGTCACTATTCGTTAAGCTGCCGCTACATCGTGTGAAAACACTTTGTCTCATCAATAACGCTAAAAAATAATGTAACAATAAGACTTGTGTAAGGAAATAAGATTATAACAACTGCGTACAGATAAAATATTTATATCGTGATGTAGAAAAAGAGCGCTACCATTGCAACTTTTGTCACAGGCTGTATAATTTTTAAATTAAAAACCATTTCATAATTATGTACTGACGCATTTGGGACCTATCCGTCTCGTTGCGATTTCCTGATACCATTATTTTTATTTTAATTGCCCCAAATTTAATCGGACTCTTAAAATGCTTGCGTGATTGAACATTATCGAATGTAGACAGCTGTTTGTTATTTTACTATCAATAATGAAATTGTACCTTCCTGATTTTGTAAAATATCTAATGTGTTTCATTTTTAAAATTTACTTTATAATTTTATTTCAATTATCTACCCTTTATTTCTTATATTTATCTTTTTTTTATTCACCGAAAATAATGGCATCAGACATTATTTACCGTATGTTTTTAATTATAATAATTTGAATGTGAAAAATTACCAATGAATGAATCCCTTTGGTTCAAGTGGCAAAATTTAAAATTACTTCTGAAACGATGCGCTAGATTCAGTCGTTATAATACCGCATTATTCGAGTTAAAGAAAAAAAATGGAAGCAGCCTGGAAGAGAATTTAAGCGCCAGCAGTTCAAAAGTATAAAATGCGAATTCTGACGCGTCATAGCTTGAATAAAAATAGAAATATTTTAGTTGAATTGTATTTTCAAATGAACGCAAGAACTTGGCGCGCTCATAAGACTTTCGATAAAATACAAGTTGCAGGTGTTGCAGTCCAGCAGGTGCTGCTCCATCCGCAACAGAAGACGCAGGTACTACTACTGCAATATAATCAGGTCGACGAATCACGACGCGTCACGCGAGTAAAGGAAAGAGCGTCTACTGCTGCGCGAAAATCGCCACTCGCGCTTCACCCTCACAAGCTCGGATTCTCCAATAGCTGTGGTCATCGAGGAGCGCGTGTCGCGCTCCACCTGGCAAGTATGACAGGAACTAAGTGACGACACGCCGCTACTCATATACAGCCCATACCTATCCGCCAACTTTCTTTTGGCTCTCATTTGAATTTGATAAGAGTTATCAAAAATCTGATAAGCCCATCAGATTCCTTGGAAAAAATCCTATCAAAATGAGCTATTTAGATTTTCCAACGGCCCCTTATTTCCTACAGAAACGAAAATGAATATATGAGTCTCTCGAAAAGTGTCCTCACGCTAAAAATGTTATCACGCTAAAAGTGTTCTCACGCAACATACAAGTAGATATAGTTTGTGTATGGGTATGTGTATGTATACAACGACGCTATACGCTGTATCGTATTGGATTGATGATGATTGATGATGTATTTTATTAAATTCGGGCTCGGCGATGACTTTCTTCAGGAAGTCACGATGTTATCGCACGGATATCGTCCCGGGTGGCTCGCTCGACGCACTAGGT